GCAGCAGGGAACTACTTCTGATTCCAAACTTTGAACTTTAATGCTTACTGCTTCGAGGATTTCTGTCTAGAATGAACTGCTAAGAACACCTTTACTGGTGATTGTATCAGTTCTGAATACTGTAGTCAAATGTGACAGCAGTCCAGACTGTGGTTTGGTCTCGGTTTATTTAGTCATGCTAAACTTTCCGAGTTTGAGGAACTGGTGGCTATCAGGTGTCAACCTCCATCTCATTATACCCATTAATCCTGGATTTTTGGGAGGTTTTCTGTAATTGATTTGGATATGGTCCTTACTCCTGTCAAACCACGTGGCAGTTCTTCTAGAAGAGGCTGAAGGGACCTTCCTTTTTTAGGTGTTTTGGTGCTACCTGAATTTAAAGGTATTGGCCCTCATCTATTCAAATGAACCAAACTGGAGAAGAGCCGTTACCTCAGAGTTCTAATGAAATCTTCTATGCATGCCTACATATGTCCATAAGTATCACGGTGTGTTCAGACCAAATGCAAAGCAAATTCTCACCTCATGCTACTTGCACAAATATGGCCACTGGAGTGGTTTTTGACACTGAATCACAGACAACAATTTCTGATTCTTGGTGAAATCAGGACACTCACTCACAGACGCATATTTGTGTCTTTACATTTACTTGTAATTGTGCCATACAAAATGTCTTTGCGGTTGTTCTGAACACACCATGACAGTGTAAGCAAGCCAGTTCAGTCAGAATCACTCTTGTTGTATTAGATCTGACCATTGCTATTACCTGATCCCAGTACAGGTTTTGCTTTTTGATTTTTGAAGTTTTGCACACAGTTTATTCATTCATACCTTCAAATTAATAATTTCAACACAAAGAAGAAAGAAAAAAACGAAACAATATGTTAGCAAATTACCATTTGAACACTTTGTTGGGGCCTTTTGCCTTTAATCGACAGGAGAGCTCAAGATAGACAGGAAATGGGGACAGAGAGAGAGGGGATGACACGCAGCAAAGGGCCACAGGTCGGACTTGAAGCCGTGGCTGCTGCAGCAAGGACTCAGCCTTGGTACATGGGGCACCAGCTCTGCCAGGTGAGCTACCAGGGCGCCCCTTGGTTTATTTAGTGCTGCATTACATAGGAACAACTGTGCAGCTAAGTCATTTGACAAAAGTAATTTAAGTAAAGTGCAGGTGATGTTTGAGTCAACAAATTCTTAACGAATTAATTTGAGGGTACAAATTACAAATATGTGCACATAGATAACAGGCCCTTGAGGCCAATATAGTCAAACTACAACCAGTGTGACTGGAACAAGCTGCTATAGACTGGCTACGAGAGCAAAGAAGTGGTGATTAAAATTGCTCTCAGGCTCTACTAACTACTTCTTATGTTTACATCAGGAGGTGAAGAAAACATTATGAACAACTCCACTTACCTAGAAGGCCTTATCCATCCTCTACTGATTAGAAAAAATATGAAAATGAATATCCTCTATGTGAGAGGAGGCATGCTTCTGTTGACACTTATATGTACAAATGACCTGTTTGGGTAGAGAGAGCTGCCTGCTGGCTGCTGGCCGGGCTCTCTGAGTCGAACTGAGTTTTGACATGATGAATGTGTTTTTCAGAGTGGGAGATGGGTTAGTCATTCATTTTCCACCAGCCAACTCTGTGATTTCTCTAACACTCAAAACAAATTACTGTTCATTCCTTGGCCCTGACACCTTACCACTGTGATACTCACTCGAGGACGTACTCTGGGCATATCAGTGATTGAGACATAGATGCAACATAGCTTTCTATTTATACCTTGTATAGTCTGATATACTGACCGCCCTGCTGCAGTTTGATTCTATTTCCAACAGGAATCCTCTGGAAAGCCTCTTCCTTAGCCATTGGATATTAAAAGGAATGCTCTGGTGAGTCATTGGTCTCACTAGTTCAGAGAAACATAAAACTTGGGATTTTAAGATTTGTAAGGCTGTCAGCAGTGACATCTTTAACACAGTAACACTTGCCCTACAACAGCCAGAATGTAATGGCCATGAATCCACATATGTGTTTACACCCGAGACACCTCTACCAGTCTTTCAGTAGTAGTTTAATAGTTGCCTGAAATTAAACAAGGTACTCTGGAGCATGAAAATCAGAGTCAGGCTATTAAAAAGGAACAATGAGAAAATAATGTTCAACTTGTCGAATTTTATGGGTGGGTTATACACAATAAGAGAATCGTTTACACTACTAATCTGTATCTGTATCTATTCAACCAATTATTATTCTTATCAGTACTCTGAACGGGCGGGGGTTAAACAGCAAGAGGGTGGAACTGGATGTTGTAATTCAGACCTGAAATTGATATAGGTTGACCAGAAGTTGCTATATTTTTTAGAAAGCTGTTTCCAAAAGAGTCTCAGAATTGAGCTTCAGAGCAATATT